GTGTAGATTAGCCGAATTCTGGGAGCAGGGAAGGAGCTGATTGGCTAGGAGGAACTAACGAGGCTGATAGAGAGCAGGTGTGTGGATTGGCTGAATCCTGGGGGCAGGGAAGGAGCTTATTGGCTAGGATGAACAAATGAGGCTGATAGAGAGCAGGTGTGTAGATGGGCAAAGGCGGGAAACACTGTATAGGAATACAAGAGGAAAAAAAGATCGAAAAGATAATAATCTTTGTCCAGTCAACAAAGTCCGAGGGCAGACTGTGACAAGTGACATTACAACAGAACAGAGTGTTTACAGTGCATTGCTCTGCATGGCTTTCATTTATTCTGTCCTCTTCTTGTTTCCCAAACAGGCCCATATGTTGGTGTCAGAATGCTTACATCCCTCATACATTAGCAAACATGTTTCATATGCCACAAAAAAAGGCAGCTTTTCACGTGCAAATAAATCAACTAAAATATGGACAGGATCAGTGAGTTCATATAACAATGGTTGTAATTGCAGGGCTGAATTATTACCCACATATTCAAAATCACTGACCAGAGAATGTTAAAATCACCCTACCTAGCCCAGAGAAATAAATCCTGTCCCTATGGAGCTTAAAGTAACCGTTGTCATGTATGCAGAAGGACAATAACTCAAACAATACATTAACTTTATCTACTAAATGTAGACATCATTATCATGGTCCACATCTAATTAGGGATACATTGTAGACCTGCTCAGAGATAATAATCATGAAATACTGACTGGGCCTGCATGCTTGAGGCTTACATCTTCACTCCTTTTGCCATTGCTTTCTGCCATTTGGCATCTTTGGTACTTTCAGTTGATTTAGAAGTTACACTAGAGTCCATTAAATATGCTGACATATGGAGTGAAGAGAGACAAAAAAGGAAATAGTCATTATCTTATTTGCCTCCTCCTCAGAAGTTGTCCGCTGAGGAACACAATAGCTCTGCCTGTGCATATTTTATGACACAATTGTTGACTAGAAACACCAACAACAGCTACTTAAAACTGCATGGAGCAGATCTAATTGCATGCTTAGGCAGCCTCATTCTTACGCAGCTGGCTTCAGAGAATGCTAACATGTACCTGGAAGCACTGACATTTTCAAGTCGTGAGTGCATCCAAGTGTGTTTGTTAGGAAGGAAATATTGTTGTCATATACCAAGCTCATACAGAAACAGATACAACTATTACAATAATTATAAATGCATGTTGTTCTCTTCTATAACTGTCTAGTTTGGTTTTCTGCATTCCTGCAGTCAAAATACATGAATAAGGAGGAAACCAGTTCCTGTTTTCCATGGAGGTGTAGTATTGGGTTTGCTAGCTTAGAAAGAATAAAGCAGACCAAGGGTGTGTCTGAACTCTACAAGATGCAGTCAAAGAAAGAGACAGAGATAAAAAAAGACTGACTCTGTCCTTCACGCAAGAGTAGGACATGTCATCGAAGACAACAAGAACCAAGTGGCTCACTTTCAACTTACTGGGTACTGTAAAAGACAGGATATTTGGCATTTTTAACATATGTCCAACAAAGATCATTGAATACCTATACCCAATGTGACCAGACCCCTTGATTACGTACTTCAATGGCCAGTCTTCACAATTGTACCAGACAAATTAAGCTTAGCAGAAGTTCAACCAGGAAGACAGTCTTTACTCATTCATTCACATGTTCCCATCTTACTACTCTCTCTCTCCTCTCAATCAGTGATCGGGGGCGTCACTCCCAGCTAATCACTTCGCCTCTATTCCCACAAGCATGGTGCATTGCTAAACCTTTACATCTGCTCTCTCCCCTCCTGTCATTTCAGGTGACCCTCTTCCAGGGTCAAGCTAAACCACTCCTCTTCAGACCGACCTCCGACTATCCCTTCATGCTCCACCACCACCAGTGTCTCTCCTGATTGAAAAGGAATAATAATCTGTTAACAGCCGAAAAGAAACTTGCATTAGTCGTTCATAGCTTTCCGAACTAGCAAACCTGCTAGCTACCCTGCCTTTGCTTGACAAACTGTTCTTTGATGTATCTTGGTCATCAAGACACATCAACGTGTTGGCATTCGTGCTAAAACTGAAATCTAACATGTTCCATACAAACAAATATGTTGCCCTTTTTAAATGCTGGGTAGCAATTAGGCTATAGTTTGAATGTATATCCAGTGGTGATCCACCAATGTTAGCAGGACTTTAGAAAAAAACCAATGCTTAAACAAAGGAGTTCTATCTGAGTGATATGTATACTGACATGTTCCTGTATAACAATAACAACTCTAAACTTGTTCTGCATTTCTTTTAAGAGACAACAGTTATTGCATGCAGGACCAAAAGAAGTCGGGACATTTTACATGAGATGATCTTCATGATTGAAAACTTGTATTCGACTAAATTACAATCTGACTTCAATAATACTTTTAGAAAAAAGTTAAGGTATTTTTTGTATGAGAACACCTGCTTTTCAAATACAGCTATCATGTTGAAATGAATGAGGAGGGTCTTTTGACTGGACACAGACAAACTTTGAAGTTTGACAATTTCATCACTTTGGTATGAGGACCACATACTAGTTGGCAAGGTAAACATCACCCTGTTGTTCACATTTCACTAAAAAACCTAGTTAAGGTTTTCTGGGCAGTGAAGTTTTTTGCTTCAAATTCCAAGACCTTTTGGAGCTGTGAATGGTGCAGGTGCGTGTGTTTTCACAGCTGAAACGTAATGTTGGATGTAGGGGTGCAATAAAACAGTCACGGTCAGAGAGGAGACAGAAAGGAATGTGTGTTGTCTATATAAAGAAACCAGAACGTCTCAAGAGTCATGTTAGGTTTCCCACAGTCATCAGTGAAATGTAATTGAAATGGATGTTTCATCGAACAAATGAATGCAGGCAGCTATGCCACACAGATGAATCCCTAACTTGCGCTGCCGTGTTCAGCTTCACTTCCTGACAGTCTGAATTACTGTCCACAAGGTACTTTTTGCTGTGAAATACAGCATTTATTTCTGGAGATTCTCTTCAGTGACTAACACCACGCAATTGTTTTTAATTGGCCTGAGAATAAAGTGTCTGTGCTGCCAAGTGTGGGCAAAGTGAATTATGGTCTGAGGGCAACGGAACATTTCTAAAATGACATTTTGAAAATGTCACTGCCTTTTTCTCTTGTTTATCATAATGGGATAATGTATCCTGCTTCACAAACTGTTATTTCCTGTATTTCTTTAATGTTCTGATTTATAGAACAACTCCTACTCTATCACAGCTTGGTAAGGGAAAGGTGAACATGAGGAGAGACTTTGTAATGATCAGTGGTGAGTGCAAATCAAAAACAAAAATAACTTTGGATTGATATCAATCATTATGGAATGGATTATGGAAAGACATTTGGTTTGATTTATGTGAGCAAAAAGACACAGATGTATATGTTGATGAATACCATTCACACAACAATCACACTTTTCATTTCAGTTGACATCATTGTTCAAGGGGATTTTTCATTCAGGATAACATGGATTATAACACCTAATAAACCTTTATCCTTGGTGTCCTGCAAAGATGTATCGTGAAATAGTTTTATTGTTTATCTGTTCAATAAATAACTTTGCACAATAAGTTGAAAATGTCTCGGGGTCCTTGGGAGTTTTCCAAAGGGCATTCATGATGCTGTCAATGATTAAACCTGCATGGTAGCATTCAGTGACTCACCGTGATTTCTCTCCTGCTATGGAGCTGTGACAGATAAACATGTATTGTAGATAAAATATATGTGCAGCTGGGCATCGATCACAACGCTGCTGAGGTTGAACACATAATACCTTCACTTCATGCCTCATTTTTGTTGAAATATTTTCACACTGGCAAAAAAAATCCTTTTTGAGCGTGCCATGTTTTTCAGTAGATTTCCAGTGATTCTAGGCCTATAACAAAAACCTATAACAATGAATTAAACATGAGGGTATCTCCTTCCGTGTTGCTATGCACTAAAATATATTCTTTATATATTTTCAATTCAAAGCATACTAATGGTCAGTTTTGAATTATTGGTCCAACCTTGTAACCAAAGCTCCTCTGTGAATTCAGTACTCTTGTCTGTACACTGTGAAACTGAATATAAATATGTCCCATCATTTAAATAATGTACTAAGGTATACAGTATTACCAGTTGCTATAGGTTTGAGAACATGGTCAAACGTTGCAATAAGTAAATCCGACCAATGAAAGAACATCTGCTAATGAATTAACAAAAATTAAATCTATAAAATATAATCTACTAAATCAGTGGTGTCCTGTGTTAGCAAGCAGGCTAACTAGCGTGTACTCTCTCAGATCAGAAACAGTTTTATTATCTTTCAAAAAATGTTTTAGTTTTCTCACAAAATGTTAGAAGTCAGATTTCAGTTTGGCTTAATATGTATAATAAACATGAAAAAGTGGATGTTGCATAATAGGTGACCTTTAACATAACTCAAGTTTCAAGGCTTTATTGTCATTAGCACATTAGCTACAGTGTTAAAGGGCCGATGTGTAGTATTTTAGGGGATCTATTATCAGAATATTTCATAACGATGTTTTCATTAGCTATATAATGACCTGAAATTAAAAGGCGTGTTTTAGTTAGTTTAGAATGAGTCCTTCATATCTACAAAGGGAGCAGGTCCCGTTTTTTGCACAGCCATTTTGTCTACAGTAGCTCAGAAATCCAAGGCTCTATCCCTTCAAAACCGTTATCTATTTTTTATCTAATTTTGTATTGCTGTTGTAATGGAGTTTGCATGTTTTTCATAATAAAAAGGGATCACTAAATAATAGAAATAGAGGTAAAACTAAATCAAGTGCACAAGCTTTCAGCAAACAGCCACAACATCTACACTGGATATAAAAATACAACGCCTTCTGTGCCACTGGTACCGGGAAGACTCATGGAGAAATGGAGATATTGTGTGCCCTATTCTCTGTGAAAGGGGTAGATCTATTGGAGAGAGTGACTCACCACGGGTATTGCTGGAGAGACGCTTGCGTTGGCTGGTGGAGGTGTTGTGTGGGAGCAGCGTGTTCTGCTGGTGATTGCTGTCGATGGGACTCGTGGCGATGATGTTGTCCTTGTATTTGTTCATTAGGGCCAGCTTTGTGTTGTCGCTCACTGTAGAGAAGTGGGATATTATTACAAACAACGGAGAGCCACAAACTAAAAGCGATCTCGCTGAAATGAGATAGTTGGCACACGGAAATAACATGTTCTGGCTGCATGTTCAAGGATTTAAAACCACAGTATAGCGAGAACTGATGACAGTAAAGAAATATATTAAGCATGCTGTTTACTGGGGGAAAGTCAAACAGCTAAAACTAAGAATGACAAAAGGTTGCATGAAAAGAATAGTCATTAAGGGAATATACACATATATTTAAGTCTTAGAGGGTAACATCATCTATTTTGTCACATGTGAAGAAGGTAGTCCCTGGGAAACAATAACAACATTTATATATATTATATTATACTCTGGTGGACTAAAATATTTTCACAACTTTTATACTGTATGTTTCTTTATGAACTGGATGACCGGAGGTTTTAAGAATACAAATTCAAATAACCCAACCTTATAAAACCAAAACATTATAAACTTAAACTATATTGATTGAATACGTTTTGAAGAATTTTCCTTAACATAAATACATTTTGGACAAAAGGAAATGTATCCGATACTATGTTTAAGGAATATATATTTTAAAGGGTGCCAACAGGCCTTACAAATGAGTGATGAGACTATATAAATATGTATAAGACAAAAGGTCATGGCAGCCAAAAAGTATTTACAGAAATCTTTGTCCAAACTCTGCAGTTGTTTATTTTCTTCAATATTCTATGCATTACCTGCGGTCTGCATTTTCAATTTCTCTGGTTCAACACCTTAACCATCCTAAATGCATAATGCACAGGATTCCTCCATCACCTCTGGGGTCGAGCTGTTCAGATTGTATAAGAAGCGCCGTCACCATAACAGATCTGTAGATTAATTTGAGCGTGCTGCTAATTGAAATTCAGAGGGTTTACATTCGTCAAACCTGCTTTCCTTCATCCAGTAATTCTCATGGGAATGGTGCTCAAATCCAACGTCCACTAATTATGAAAACGTAAGCCCTTTGATTATTTCAAGTGGGATAAATAAACTCTTTTGTAAGAATGCCTGCAGTTTGATATTTACATCTGGTGTATCGGTCACACTACTAATGTTCCAAAACGGATTATAAAAACTGCTAAACAAGTGCTTCATTTCCATCTGCTGACACTTTTAAAAATAACAAAGCCCTTTACTGTACATTGTCGTTTGAAGACTTTATGTTTGTGAAAGTCAAATGCCACTCTATCAATTTGCATGCATTCATTTAGATGATGTCCCACCTATGTGAGAAAATAACCTATTATGGTATTTAATTAAACTTCCAATGACTTTTTTGTTTCACACGTATTATCTGCATGTTGCAACTGTGTGAATGTAATTATATTGGTAGATGCTTGGACTACAATTAACATAATCATACAGTATGTCACCTTTAGTACTAGAACCTTTTGTCAAACTGTCGTTAGTTTTATTACATTTTATTTTTTTTAAAAAGAGAAAAAAATAACGCCATCATTAAGACAAGTGAAAGCTTTCCCAGCATACACGTGGATATACAAATATGAATATACTGATTTATTGGCAAAAGAAAAAGCACCTTGTATCCCAACCTCGTACATGAATTAAACAAATTTAAATGTTATGCTGACAAAACATTATTCAGCAATAGTTTTGTCTGCATTTCTCAAAAATAAAACCTCTGCATGTTCAGTCAGGAAACTGTTTTGTAGAGTGCTCACAAGTTGTGCGTACAGACAGTACACGCTTGCCATATCCTCTTAACCTACTTTTAAAATAACATATTGATATTGATATATTGATATTATTTTTGAATATCAAATATTGTTTATATAAAAGAAAAACAGAATGCAGGGGTATGTTATGTATTGAAGAAAAAATAGATTAAGCTTATAATCCTTGAACTTGTCTTGTTGAAAATGATACAAATCCAACTGAAATATATTCAGTATATATCTAACATTCTTTAACCACCTAAAAGTTAAAGATGACAAGTTATGCTAATTGTCAGTTCCATACTTCATATCTCACTTCTTTACGGCATCAGCACTACATCCCTCAACAGACTCCAACGGGTTCAAAATGCAGCTGCACGTCTTCTCACGCATTCCAAATCATGGCATCACATCACCCCAGTCCTCAAAGACCTCCACTGGCTTCCTGTCTCCCATCGCATCAACTACAAAATGCTGGTCCTCACCTAGAAAGCACTCCACCATCTGGCCCCCCCCTTATCTCACAAACCTTCTCACTCCTTATCAACCCCCACGGTCCCTCAGATCCACCGCAGCCGGACTCCTATCCATTCCCACATCCACACTCTGCAGCTTTGGGGACAGAGCCTTCTCAGTGGCAGCTCCTAGGCTCTGGAATTCCCTCCCCCAAGATCTCCGTGACTCTGAGTCCCTCACAGTCTTTCAGTCCCGCCTCAAAACACATCTTTTCAACTCTGTCTACCCATAAACCCCCCCCCCCCTCTCAATCAACTTCCTCTTGACTGCCTTTTTATTTTTTACTTACTTGTTTGCCTGTCCTTGTTTGTCTACCCTCCCTCATACTGTAAAGCGTCTTTGAGTTGTGAAAAGCGCTATATACATAAAATGCATTATTATATATGTATTTTGTACACTACCTGTGCTGAAGCACCTCTTTTCACCCTCTGTCTGAAACCAGAGCCCAGTCTAATCTGATTGGTTAGCTGGCCGGCTCTGTTGTGATTGTTCAACTGCTTAGAGATGTCCCGCCCCTTAGCCTGTCACATATAATGTGTTGGAGCAATATCCAATAGGAGGGTGAGTGCTACATAGTGATGTCATTATGTTAAAGTAAACAAATTATTCCAATTGAGGCTGACGGGCAGGGGGGGAGTGTGTGGGAACTTTTGGAATGTAGCCTTTGCAGACCATTTGTAAGTGGGTTGATTATAGTGAGTTTTGTTTGAATTAAAAAACAGCTGCTTCTGTGTGTTTGTCACTACAAGCAACCCCTTCCACAGAACATCCAGCCTACTTAATGTATTGTTAATATGAAAGGTGTTGATAAGTGGTGCTTTAAATTAGTTTGTTGTTTTTCAACCTGTCTGTTATTGCTTCAGTTAACCTACCAGGTGTGAGGTCCATATTATTCTTGTCATTACAGCCTTGGAGGGAGTCCAGGGTACGGGTGACTTGGCTGGCAAACTCCTCGCCGCCATTCATACACTCCCGCTGCAGATGGTGACGCAGGTCGGTAATGTCATACTCATACCTGGTGAGGAGGAAGAGATCACAATCGGAATCAGAATACCTCTATGCGTCCAACAGAGGGGAAGTTTGCATTTGTTAGAGCAAAACAAGAGCCACAGACAGCTTCATATTAACTAAGAAGCATGCATCAAAACATATTAAAGATACAAAATAAATTACACATTTTACAAAATACACATCCTGTAACAGATTTGGAGATATAGCAGCTATTAATTAATATATGTATATATATATATATATATATATATATATATATATATATATATAAATATATGCATATGTATTGCACATAATTGGTATTTCACAACTTAAGCTAAATTATTTCGACTCAACTAACTAAGGCATCGCAAGCGCCTAACAGCTTGATGAAGCCATACATATTTCAAAGAGTGACAGGATGTACTTATAATAGGTTGTTTTATAATATGAAGACTATAACTTCAATGCAGACTACTGCAATTAAAAGTGTGCTGGTTAAATTATATCAGCTAGCCTTAAAGGGATAGTGGAAATCCGCGAATTTTGGGTTTAACTTATGTATTTTTATTAAAAATAAGCATAATAAACAATTTTTTTTAATTTCATGCGCCTAGTTTCATTTTATTTTCAATTTTAGTGCGCCCTCTCAATGAAACGAAATACTTCGGGAATCGTCGGGAATCTTCGGGTGATGACGAGAGCAAAGGAAGACGGGCACAAACAATGGCGGACATTCAATAGCATTTGCATGTGAATAGCCGACCTTTATTATGGTGAATAGATGTGTTTTGTATGGCTGTAGTGCGACAGCAAATGCAGAGAATGGCGTATCGACGCATGCGTTTCCAAGAAACCCAGCCATTCGTCGTCAGTGGGTGAAATTTGTTCAGATAACACGGGCAAACTTCACGGAGCCGAAGCTGACGAGTAATTCGGCAGTCGTGTGCTCCCGTCATTTTACTGACGATTGTTTCGAGATTCCTCGGTCTCTAGCTCAAATTGAAAGTGGAATACATAAGAAGTGAGTATTTTATTATGTTTTCTTGTTGATTTAATGCATCATTAGCCTGTACCATTTTGTACAACGCCATTTATCCGGTACACAGTGTCGAATGTGTACACTAGAGTCATCATATAGACATGATAGACTAACAGTACTGTGAGTACAGCCTACACTTGACAGGCAGCCTGGCTATCCTAGGATGTTGTTTACTTTCTCTTTTCTGGCTGATAGCTCCAGGAATTCGAGGTCTTACAGTGATGACATTACATCTGTGGAGTCTCAGCTTTAAATCGTATATCTTGTTTGTGCAGTTAAGATACGGGCATTTCTACCGTGTGTTGTGTGTAAAAAAGCGTTAGCATTAGTTAGCATTGTTTCGCTCAATGCTAATTCAAAGGCTTGGTATTACTCGTGTTTTTTCTAGCTAATAATTGTTCTTATTGTCAGTTAGCGGAGTTTCTTACCTTTAAAAGGGTATGACACATTAATAGTTTCATAAATGTTAAGAAGCCCTGAGACATGTGAGAGGAAAAAAACGGTGGGAGGGGTCCACTGGGGGGACCTTCGGGCTTAACTGGTTAACAATGATTCATATTTGTAAAGGCTACAGGTGATCTTAAGATGCGTGAGCTATGCTTAGGGACCTACCAGTCAAGATTATTTGTGCGTAGGGGTGCATCATCTGGCGCCTGGTCCTGGTCATCCTCGCCATTGCCCATGCCGTGAACCATCACCTCGGGCTCGGGCTCGAACAAATAAGGACGTAATGGTCCATCGTCTGGCTCAATATTCTCACCATCGTCGCTTACTGAACCGGATTCAGATTCAGTTCCTAAAACGACATTTTCGTAGGAAAGCCGAGAGGATGTTTCTGACTCGCTATCATCACTGGATACCTCGTACAATCCTTCTTCTTTGTCTGGTATATTTGCCCTTCCACGTTCATTCTGCATAGACGCCATAGTTTGTTATCGTATCGTCTTCCTGAGTTTTCGTCACTTCCAGTTTGGCTGAGTCGAACATTTCGTTTCTAAAAAACTTCGGGGAAGCTGCAATAAAGTGCTTCTAACATGCGTAAGGCAATTATTATATTTTTTTAATCAGGTGTGATTGTTTTGGTACGTAATTATGCTTGTATATAAGTTAAAACGAAACTATTTGAGGTTCCATTTCCACTATCCCTTTAAGTAGTGAATTTAAAACAGTTCCAAACTCCACAACACACTGTTTATTTACAGCAGCTACTGCAGATGCTTATTTTTAGAGTGTAACCGTTTCGGAATATGTCCCCCCCCTTCCACTGATCCCTACTTGTACCCATCCAAAATCGGAGTCTCCCGGATGCTGAGGGTACCGCTGGAGTTGGGCCCCTGACCCCGGGAGTTCCTCAGGCTCTCGCGGGCCTGGCCCCCCATCAGCACCGAGGGGATGTAGTGGATCTCATTAGCCGCCTCAGCACTGGCACTCTTCTGGGGCTGGGGGATGCGGCGGCGCTTGCACCAGCGCCGGCGGGTGTAGAGGATCAGGACGAGGCACAGGATGGACAGCAGAAGGGCGATCATCCCGCCCTGAGGGGAGGAGGGTGACATTTGGAGCAGAGACAGAAACAAAAGGGGAGAAAAGAGAAGGAAAAAGAGCAGAGAAAGAAAAGAGAGTCAAAGGGGAGAACAGATCCAGAGAATCTTGCCAAGTCGAATATGGATCAAAGTCAAAGCTGTAATGCCAACGGCACATTTATAAAACAAAAAAAGGTTAGAGATGCAATTTAGTGAATAAAACCTTCAGTGTTTTTAAATGACAGCAGCTACTGAAGGGTTGTTTCACCTTGAAACAAAGTACAGTGAAGTTCAGAACACTGATCCATACCGATTCTTAATAATTGAATTTCCATGTGGGATACAGGCAAGGGTCGGCCGTTATAAAGCATATCCCTATTGAAAGTACTGAGGTCAATGGAGCAGTTTGAAACATGTTTCATTTAATGTCTTTACTTTGTTGCCAAAGGTTAGATAGGAAGGTCAACACCATGCTCTGTGCGATAAATACTGTGTGTAGCTAAAGCCAGCAGCTGATTAGCTTAGCTTAGCTTAGCACAAGAGTTGGAAACAGGTGTAAACTTAGCTGTTTAATCCATGTAAAAGACCAGACCCCACGCAGCATTCTCATCTGTTTGTCATTACTGGTGTCATTTTCTGGTTGCTAACGCCATTGTAAAACATAACACTGATGTTCCGCTGTAACGGTGGTGGACTCATCAGAACAGAGTGGGTGAACTGACCAATCAGAGCACAGTGGGCCCATAGGGAGGGGGGGGGAGGAGCTCCAACAAGGCGTGTAGCTAGAGAGTGAATACACATACTATAGCCTACAGAGATGCTGTATGAGAAAACAAATGTGATTTTGGAACATTGAACAATGTAAATCTATTCTAGTAGACCTCAACAATGGAATTATGATCAGTAGAAATGGCCATGACATGGGACCTAATAAGATAATACAGACCTTTATTAATCCCCTTGGGGTTTAAAGCAGCAACAGAGTGAGAGCGAAAAGCAGTAGGCCTACAGTACATATTCACACAAGGATAATTTAAATTAAAGATACAATTACAATTATATAAGTAACTGGCAAAACAATAAATGAATTAAATGAACATACATATTTGAGTCTGGATTATAACATATATATATATATATATATATATATATATATACATACTTTAATATATGACTGATGATTCAAGTGATCATTTTACTGCTAAGCTTTGATGTCTTTCACAAATAAGTTTAAAAAACCTTGATGTTAGACCGTTGTCTTTCTGAACTAAGAAGAAAGTCAGAGGGAAAACAGATCTACTCGCAGCCTGTGAAAATATGGGAAAAGTCTCTTGTGACTTTGACTATGAGCTCATACGCAGGAAACACTGATACCAGAAGACTGGGCCAGGTCACATGACCATATTCATTTTGCTCATTTTAACTCTGATTTAAATGACTTATGAACCTGTTTCCGGAGAGGAGTGATGCTGCAGCATACACACTAGCACCTGCGGGTGTTGAGGATCTGGCATGGGAACAAGATGGACAGATGAAGGGCATCGAGCCTGCCCTGAGGACAGGTTAGCAGCGGGGACACAGACAGAATCATCCAGAAACCGGAGAGGAAATGAGACAACGAGAGGGGAGAGAGTCAAAGAGGGAGCGAGAAAGGCGAGAACAGTGTCAGAGAATGTTGCCAAGAAGCAGGATATGGATCAAAGTCAAGGCAAGTTTAAAGCACACAGCCTGTGGAAACGCAGGAGAAAGACAGCAATTGTCAGTTTGAATATAAGATCATTTCTCTCCTTTGAAATAAAGAAAAAAAGAACAGTTTTCTTGGCAGTTTTATTCTACTTTTTCTTTTTATCTAGCTCCATTATTTGCATTTTAAGGTTACTCAAAGTGATATTTTAGAAAAAGTGACAGCAGAGATAAGATAACATGCGGACATGATTGTAACTTGGACCCGTAATGTTACATATGTGCAATTTACTACCTCGCCATGCTGAATCTGATGCTACCCAGCTGGGAACTCAATATCAGATACGTTGTGCAATTTGGAAAATGTCAAAAAGAGTTATGAAAATGTCACGGTGACAGCACAAAGCGAGAGAAGACAGCAGCAATTTGCCACTGGAGAAGGGTTTAAAAGAAATAGTGAGTGCCTCTCAGTCCGAAAATCGAACTGTCGTTTAAAGTAAGAAACATAAATGAATAAGTGTTTATGACTTCCTGCCTCTACTCAAATTATCAACCCTTTGTATGTGATTTGAGAGGTGCAAGGCACAAGGATTATGGGAAACATATAATTTGCCAATTTAATTTAAGCAATGGTGTGAGCAAAACAACAGTATTATAACAAATGTTAGTGGAAACTGATTCAAAAAGGATATCATGTGCAGTTAAGAGCAGATAGGCACAAATGAAAAATGATTTTAATCAGTCATTTACATAAAAAAGAAAATCACTTTTCAAACATTTTAGGAATTCTGAGGCCGAATGGGAAAAAGCTGGGTTGCTCATGTTAACTTAAATTGGCAAAAGTGGAGCTTATTAGCATAAATTGTTTGCTCAATATGCATAGTCACGGATATTAACAAATGACACCATGGTACGGACCTACTTCTGAACCCTAATTTAATTTGATCGCATGTTGTTGATGATATTGGTGATGTTTTTAATGTTGTTAATGATATCAGGACTTATGTCCTAAATGTTGCTGTATTATTGTTGTATTGTTTTAAGTGTCGGACCCCAGGAAGAGTAGCTTTTGTCGAGAGCAAAAGCTAATGGGGATCCTTAATAAACATAAACATAAACCTACTTCTGCACTAAATCGGCATGAACAGTGGTCAAAAAGGAGAGCATTAGGTTTGTAGTGATTACATTTTCAGCACTTTGAAAGTCACTGATGAAGTTCCCCATTCAAATGAAACAGTGACTACACTATGGTATCTACAGGACATGACAAAATTACATTATTTTAAAGAAAACTGAATATGGGCTGTATAGATATACATTTTTTCTTCAATCATTAACACGCTGAAGGTTAGCTTAATCAAGTATGTGTTAAGTTTTCATTAACGCACTTAATGCCGTTTTATTTATACACATGTATGAGCATGCGGGCATACTTTTCACCTAACTTTATTCTAAACAACTAAAACAAAGTTGGAAGGAGTGTACATATTGACAGATTGCCAGCAAAAGGACAAAACAAAACATATCAAGCAGACATTGAACAAAATTAGCTAGCAATTGATAATGTGCTAACTTGTCAGGGACATACACTAAAGAAGGCCATCCCATATCAAATGTATATGTTGTTGTTGTTAAGTTCTACACCTAAATAGCAAAGAAAAAACCTATAACCTATAATTAAATATGATGTCATGCTAGGCTGTGAAAATAAGTTTTGCACAATCAATTTATTATAATTTCAACATCAATTCAGGGACCATAGAAGATTGTTACCCTTTCTGTCTCTAAAGTGACTCAAGTTCAAAGTCACTTCGATCTAGGCAGCATCCTCCCGTGTGTTGTATGTATATTTCTTTCTTTGACACCCCCACAAACAATGGAAATCCAGGTATTAATGTCACTGGCTGTCACCTAAGATGTATAGTTGTGTATTTTACTCCCATTGTCTGTGAAATAAAGAGGGATTCAAAGCATGCAATCCACACTTGCTGGGTTGCAGTTACTTGTGAGTGAAATATAATGCTCCCTGTGTAGTCATCGGCATTGATTAAAAGTGAAGAAAAGAAAGGGAAATGTGTCTGAAAAGCATCGTCAACAGTCAAGGGGAAAGGGAGAGGGATGCTGGAGCACTGATATGTCTGGGGGGGGGGCAATGGATGTGGTTGTAGGGGTATCACAGAGGTGGATGGCTCCTTTGATTTAAATACATTTGAACTTGTAAAATCAGGCTTTTAAATTGCTTTTTATGTTCCACTCAAACAGGCAGGACTTCCTATCTACTTACTTTAGCTTTTTCTTATGACACATGTTAAAATCCATTGTTTTTTTTTGTTTATATACTTTTGTGTCAGAGAGTCGGTAGAAATTGTTGTTTATAATCTTGTAAAAATAAATAGAATAGTTATGAAGCATGTTTTTACCAAATCCAATTGTTGTTTTTTTAAAGAAGCCCTAATGCTTTTTGTGCTTTTCCTTTTTGTATAGTGTGTTACAGTATACAGGTGCATGTAAAGCTTAGGCTAAGAATACAAAAGTTCCCTCCAGAGGGAGTTTCTCTCACTCTCCCTACCAACCGTTCATTGGACTCCTTTGATTACTTCCTGAAAATAATGACATCACTATGTAACACTCACCGGTCTATTGGCTAGCTCCCCAACACATTGTACATGGTGGGTTAAGGAACAGTACATCTCTAAACTGTTGACCAATCACAACATTGCTGGCCAGCTAACCAATCGGAGCAGACTAGGATCTGGTTTCAGACAGAGGGTGAAAAGAGGTGCTGCAGCACAGGCAGTATGAGAACAATAAAGAGCTTTTTGAACATTAAACCATGTAAACATGTCACAGTAGAGGCACACAATACTAATATCAAGCTGAAAATGAGCATAATAGGGCCACGTTATTACAAAAGACATTTGTTGTGTGTTCTTGTTGATACAAATCTTGTAAAATGCAGAGCATAGTTAAGGAATGTTAAAATGTAATAACTAAGCATAACTATTAAAGTGTATATTCAATTTCAAGCAGCACTATTGTTTCATTCATCCCTGCCTTGACTAGAACAAGATGTCAAATGTCAAGTACCTCAAATGGCTCTCAATCAAATCTTCCTCAGTGACAAATGTAATTCAAACCCATCAACCTGCATTAGCGGTGATGCGTGGAGGGGGCTAATACAGAGCAAATGGAAAAAACTGTTTAATGTCAGGCATTACTTGGAATCAAAGTGAGGACTAAGTGGACAGTGTCCTCTTATAGAGCCAATAAAACCAAACCACACATCGGAGCATGCCAGCGCTCCAGACCCATAATCCACTTACTAACGG